GCGTTTGAGATTTGGAGGGGGGCTTAAGTCTTACTTTGATACTTTGATAATATTGAATAAGCTTAAAACAAAATGTAGGAAATGTTTGGGAGGGCTATGGACATTTTTGAGGGGGCTTCGCCCTTAAAGCCCCCCTATTTGCGCCTATGATAGGGGGAACACGTGTGTGTGTTAATAGTCAAAAGCTATTAAAATATCCATTATTTTTATTTATTTGTAAATAATAATTAAGACTTTCTAAATACACCCTCTCTGTAGTCTGTCCTCACGCTGCAATCATATTGGTTTACAGTTCATTCATGCTCTCCTTCACAACTCTATCGACTCACCTGATGTACTATCGAAAATCCAATTTAAAGTCCCCTCTCATAATGTTCAAAATTACACTCCTTTTTACATTCCAACTCTGTCTACTTCCTTCTAAATCTGTTTTGAAAACGTCCAGAAAAGAGTACCTACGTAATACTGTGAGTCTTGATAACAACAAATTTATATCTATTATTCAAGTTTAAAGTGTCTTATTATATTATATAATTAGGTACCTATCAAGAATAATAATTTTGGTAAGGTATATAATTGCAAAATATTTAATTTCTATATCTAGGGTATAATAACTACACTAAAAATAGGTGTAAAACTGTAAAATGTAAGTAAACTAATAACATATATGAGGTGCGTATAATGTATATAAAATATAATGATTAATAATATTATATTATTTTAAATACTTCAAGCAAACCCAAGATGGTTTCTGGAATATATAGTATAATACTATAATATGCAAAAATAAGCTATAGGTTGGCGTGGTGAAACGAAAACGGCCTTAGGACTGTTCGGGCTCGCGTATATTATAAATTATAATATACCTGCATTGTCATTTTGAGAGTAAACGTTTATGCTTCTACGCCACCCAGTAAACAGATCGTCCGTGGCAATAAATATTTATTTTAAGTCTAAAAGGTAAACGTAAATCCCAAAATAATATGAAAACAAACTTACGCTTAAACATCGACTCTTCTGGTGAAACCTAGCTAGAGTGCATCAAGAATTCAAGAATGTAAACGTGCAGTACGTGACGACACCGAAGAAACAGCTATCTTCATCCGTCTTCATCTCGTTCCTAACTGTAACTTGAAGGTATCGACATATTTTATGAAAATTACCTGAACTTAACGAAATATGCGAGTTTATGTTAAAACGTACATTATAATATAGGTACGGCTTAACGAACATCCATATAGGCTTATTTTTTTTTGTTCACTGAAATTATTAGAATTGTTAAACATCGCCGACGAATGTCGACAATTGGTGATTGCCATAGATGATATAAAATATATTATTTAATATGATAAATCCATAGAACTTATATATACTCAGTACCTATACGGTCTATTGATAAATCGTATGTTCTTTTACAGAAATCCTTGTGGTTTGAAATGTATTCTTGTTTTCTATTTCAGTTATTTATTGCATACTAAATTTAACCAAACAAATTAGTCCACAAGTTTATAGACATCACAAATATATATTATAAATTATAATTTATAGTAGCTTATATCTGTGATAGACATTCTAATATCCAATGCATTCTCCCGCCGGAGGCCATACTCCATAAACCCAGTTCAGGGGAAGTTATATTTTTACCTACAAATTCTTAAAAAAAAAGGGGTTGGGACAAGGAACTTTATGAATTTTAAACTGATAAATAATTTACAAAATAATATTCTCATGACTATAAAGAGCTCAAAAAGAGTCAAAATAGTCTGAAAATTTTACCATGTATGGAAAAATCAAATATAAATATTTTTTACTTTTTTTCGTTACAGGAGGAAAAACTTATGTTAATGTCAGTTATGAAAAAAAAAACTTTTATGAATTTCTAACTAATAAATAGTTTTCAATATTTTAAACAGCGCAATTTGTCACAACTGTTTAAAAATTTTACAATGTATGTATTAAACTATAAAAATTGAAAACTGTAAATGTCCGTAAACAGCTCAAAAAGAGTCAAAATATTTTGAAAATTGTATGGTGTATAGGAAATGTTAATATAAACATTCAGTGAAATTTTCATGTATCTACAGTTATTCGGTTTTAAATTACAACAAAATGAGGAAATCGCTACATGAGAAATCCAATGAGTGAATATCCAATGTTGTAAAAATTTGAATTTCAAATGCTCATAAAAATTAAATTTGACTTTCTGATAGACATTTTTTTTTTGATAACGGTAGATAATTTCATATGGAATCTTGTATTACATTTTAAAATCTTAGATTTAAAAAGAAAAATTTTTACGAATTCATAACTCAAAATAATTTGCTAATTTTCGTGATTTATCCGTATTTTGTAAATTTTTGAACTTTAAATGCTTATAAAAAAAAAAACTGTAACTAAAGATTTTTAATATTTATCATCTGCCTTAGCCATCTGCACCTCCGCTATTTCAGTTGATAGGTACTAATTGTTTTATCACTTGTAAAATAAAAATAGTAAATGTACTGTATTATCAGAGATTTTTGACTTTTTACACAATACCTACTATTGGTTATAAATACTAGAATTTATTTATTAATAGTACAACTATTAATTAAATTATTAATTAGTTATTGGCTATTTCTAACGTTATCACACAGTACACACTGCACGCTACGATACACTAGGAAGTCATATTTCTTATATTTGTACAATATATTTTTATACTTAGGATTACGATTACCCACAAATTTTGGGGGTACACCCACCCCTTGAAATAGGTGTGGTGCCTGCCACTGTATCTGATGATGATAATAATAATAATGCGTATAACACCTATACGGTTACAGCTCACGTAAATACGTAATGACGAAAAGTTTCGAGTTCCTCCAATTAATATTTTAACAGAATAACTATATAGAACCGTCAACCCTTAGAGGAAAATAATCATTATTTTTGTTCTAAATATCCTATTTCTTCCAGGAATGTCGTCACTCGTCAGTGGGCGGAATTTCCTATCAAGTGTAGTCATCCCTGTTAAACATTCTTCTTTCGTATAATTTCCGTATAATTTAAGCTCATATTGTACAAAATATGTAGTATATAGAATATAGATGTTTTAATTTCAAATAAAAGACGTTCAAACCATTACGTATAGCCCTACAGGTATTAGTGTATTACTATTATTACTATTATTATCAGACTTATACAAAAACATTTTCCAAATATTAAGACAATTCTTAATCTATTTATACCGCGACCCAGTTAACACTGTTTTAATCAAGGCTACTTGGTATTGACATAGTACCAGGGTCCAGGACACAAGATAAGAAAAAAACTACAAAAACTATAATATTATAAATATAAATATTATTATTAATATTAATATTTATATTATAAATAGCTCAAAATGAATCAAAATATTTTTAAATCTATACCATGTACCTATGCTAATATAAACCGTTTGGTGAACGTTTCAAGTAACTACAGTGATTTGTGAATCATAAAAAAAAAAAAATTTAAAATCGATTTAATTTAAAACCGGTTTTGCGTTTTTTGAGTCTTTTCAATTCTTAAGAAAAGTAATGGGAATTGATTACTTTTCACTCACTCATGGTATCAGTACCATCCATATTCACTTTCCTATCAGAAAAGATATTGAATCTAAGTATTTTTACTGCTCCATAAAATAGGTGACTATAGATGTGTTTACAACCTAACCTAACCTAACCATCATTGTAAAATCAATAAATTCATCACTCAGAATTAAAAATGTATCAATCAACTTGTCATAAATATAAAAAAAAAATTGATGACTTCATCGTGCATACTGCATGATATTATGTTTATTAAATCTATACGTAAAAATTCGATTATATGAATGCAATAATAAATTGCGCATTTTTTGTCTATAGACGATATCGTTGGCGTGATGCAGAGTTGCAGAAACGAGCTCTATAGCGATACGCCGATACTAAACTCCGCAGAAACAATAACAACGCAACTAATACCAACACCCTCTAAAGGAGCGTACACAGTATTACGCTACGACAAATACTACGAATGTGCCCCACACCCGCATAATAATAATAATATTATACTCGTATGTACGCAAACTATTATATTTCACGCCGCGAAGCGTCCGAAAATCGCGGGACGTAATTAATACGGCGGCGGGATGTACGTTGACGACGGCGCGCGCGTGCGCCCACTCTGCGGCGTATCGACCGGCCTCGAGTCACGGCGGCGCGGTGGCGGTGGCGTCGCCGTCGTCGTAAAAAGCTCCCCGGGCCCACCCTCGCACGCGCGCGCCTCGCTATCGACGGCCGCCGCCGCCGCCGCCGCTGCTGTCGCTACACGCGCGCCACCCTCACACACGTACACCCGTACACACGTTAACGCGTACACACGTACACCCGCGTACACACCACGTACACCGGACGTTCGTTGTGTTGCGTACGCGGTCGGTGCGTGCTAGTCGTCGGCGCACCAGTGTGCTGCAGGGGATGACCCGGAATTACCACTCGTCAGTGTCAGCCACGTCTCGAACGCGCGACATTCGCGTGCGTTTATCATATCACGACGGTTGCCGTTGATAGCGGCGTAGTTCGCATAAGTGTATAACGTTGCAGTCCTACACGGTGTAAATCTCGCCCGTCGGAGTGTCTCTGCAGGTCAGCTCGACGCGCGCGCCGCCGAATGCGCTGCAGCTACAGCTGCGGGACGGCCGCCCGCGCGACGGCTGCCGCGACGCTGTCGTGGCCGCTATCGATTGCCGCGGTCGGCCGCCGGTAGGACGACTGTGCGAGAGGCGGACATCGACGGAGACGCAGCCAATAAAGACAACGACCTCGGTGAAGATAACGATAACAGTACGAATAGGACGTGCCGCATCTGAGCAACTCGATAACCGCCGTCCGGGACCTGCGGTTGCAGCGGCAGTCGCCGCTGCGTCTGCACCGGCCCTCGTGGCACCGCCTGCACGCTCGAGCCTGTCTGCACCATTACCAGCCCGGCCACCGGCCATGGGAACCGTGCTGAGCATCAGCCCCAAAGACCGCAAGTCCGTGTACCCGGCCATGGCCAGCAGCGCCAGCGCGGCCGAGTTCACACTCAGCAGCTTCACATACGAGCAGTTGACCAAGCGCCGGCACGCCGACGTCATGGCCGGCCGTAGCATATCCATGATGCTGCCGGCCAATATAAACATAAACACCATCAACAACAACATCATCAACAACAACAACAATCACAACAATCACCACCACAACAATAACAACTCGGAGAACAACTGTAAGACGGCGACGACAGGTGGCGAACCGCATCAGCAGCAGCAGCAGAGAGGCACGCTGGAAAAGAGCTTGAAAAAACATTCGGCCTTGATCAACGCTCTCAGCTGGAAGCGGTTCAGCACGTCTCAAAACAAAAAGAAGCTGGACAATGGTGGCACAGCCGGAGTCGGCGGTGTCAAATCCAAGCAACTGTTGGGAGGTCGGCAACCGTTGGTGGACACCAACGCCAACGTCGACTGTGTTGGCCGGTCTAATGGCGTCCGCCGGTCGGCCACCACGACTGGGCTGGACGTGGCCAACAACAACAGTGGCGGCGTCGACAAACTGGTGCCCAGGGCCACGCTGGTGCCGTCGCACACGTGCCACAACCTTGTGCCCCGGAAAACCATCATACAGGCAAGCACGTCCGAGCTGCTCAAGTGCCTGGGCATCTACTTGCACCACAAGTGCTACAAGCTCAACGATTTCCAGGCCGGCGACGCGGTCATGTGGTTAAGGACGGTGGACAGGAGTCTACTAATACAGGGATGGCAGGTAACGCACATCATTTCCATATTTTATAATGTTTTATATTATAATATTACATCACCATTGTGATGTTTCTGTTACATAACATAATGCATATTATGGCGGATGTCTGTTTTTGTTTTCATTTTCCTTAAAAGGGGAAATTCTGTGCATTTCATTTAACAAAATGGTACACGACGGATTTGTAGCAAAAACATTGTTTTCCGAATAAGGCGGGTGCATTATACGACGGGTCCGTAGTCCGTGCATATTTTATATGCGTATTGCGTATGTATATAATATATTATGCTCTCGTCGGTACATATATAATGTATATATATATATTCTCATATAGCGCCGTCGCCACCGCCGCCGTTTTGCAAACGATTCGACCCTCTCGCATGCCCGCCACCCACCTCCAACCACAATCCCCTTCCCTCGCTTACGACGACCCACGCGTCTCCCGTCACACGACAGTCATCCCCACCCATCTGCGACCACCCCCTCCGTATATATTATAACCTACACCACCCCTCCGTCAGTGCCAGGCCGTGCGCGTCGCGTGATTTACGCGCCGCCGAGTTCACCGCCACCGTCGCCCCCTCGCCACCCCGTCGACTACCCTTACACCCCCGCCGACGCCACCAAGACTCTATATATTATATGGTATACATATATATACGCGCACTCGGCCTCAGCCGTTCTCCCCTTACGTTTTATACGAATTTCGCAGCACTCTTTGCCGTGTTGACGGTCCGATGACGTGTACTATAACTTAAGAGAGTAAAAACGCAATTTTCCCCCTTCGGGCGCCGCGCCGCCCCCGTTTTTCGCTCACCGTCTTTGTATACTTTGTATACGTATATATTCGTGCGTCGATTATTATTATGCAGCAGCGCTAGAAGTCGCCGCCGTGGTCCCCCGTGTATAGGTACACTATATATATATATATACATAATATATACTTTTCAACCCCCGTCCGAAAAATGAGGGTGAAATAAAATTCCTACGTCCGCGTAATACAAGAGTAAAACACTTGTCGTCCCCGCATAAATGCAACGCTGCCTCTAATCGTTATATATATATTATATTATCATATTGACATGAGTCCGCAGAGAGAATTTTTCATAACTCGTCGCTTTTGGACGATGACGGCGGTGACGTATGAGGGATATAATAATTACATACATTCACGCACATACATCGGTTTTACAGTCTTCAAAACAAAAGAAATTTTAACAAAAAATGTATTTTGACCTAGTCAATTACGCTATCTACTATATTCATATAGGGATTATTTTTTAAAGTACCTTTGGTTTTATATATTAATTTAATTTACTGATATATACAATTTATATCGCGGCGGGCGTGATGACTTTATTTAAAAATTTTTTATAATTGCATGTAAATATAATGACATTGTGTATTATAGTCTATAGATATTATTTTTTTTAAATTAATATAATATTATGAATTATGATTGTAACTAAGAATACGAACGCGTTTAAAATATCCAAAAAGGATTAAAACATTTTATATTCTTAAAAACCGTAAATTTTATAACATAAACCTTTAAACGATATTTTTCTATTTTTCCTCTACAAGGAAAATCTATGAATAATAAATATGTTTTTGTTAATAAGTAACCATGACAACGAAAACCTTATGAAAAATCGGTCAGAAACAAAAAAACGTGTACCTACCCGGCCCAAAAACATATTTATGTTAATAAAGTGTAAAATAAAAATCAATTTCACATACTCGCGGACGTGAAAAACTAAATAAACAAAAACGGCACACCTCGAGTATACCGCCGTAAATAGACCACGTGAGTTTCGAACTTCACCAGACTTTATCTATAAGTATTTCAGAGCCAACCTCCCGAATGCGTCTATCGTCCGTGAATTACATATTGTGAGGGTTTATATAATACACCCGCGTGTTCCGTAAGCCGGTAACCGCGGTAAGCTCGGTCATTATGTTCCATATGCCATTGTATGCGGTTTACACGACGTGACTAACCGCGATATTATCCGGTGGTCAGCAGTATAACTAAAACGGTCGTCGCCGTCTGTTTTCTACGACTCTCTACCGCAGATTCATAATGACTTTCGACCGAACCGTTTTCGTGGAACCGTTTAAGGGTGCGTATTACGTGACCATAGTCTCCTATTTTTCAAAGACTAGATGTCTTGGTGGCTTGTAGGGGTATAGGGTGTACATCAATCACCTTACTTACTCACGGCGGTTCCTTGCAGGAATAGCGACAATTTAACACACCACTATGATGTTTATTTAGAATTTATATTGAATTTACGTACGACGTGTCACGTACTCACGTGAGTATATTGTATAATATATATAAGTTTAGACTATCCAATTTAAACCTTGATGAAATAGTTACACGAGTACCCAACATATTATGATTGCATTTAACAAAGTTTTACTGAAAAGCAAAAAGACGAATAGACATAAATAAGTGCACAATATGGAATAAAAGTTACGACGGCTGCAGTATCAGATTACGTATATAGACAAGACACGTCATGTAGCCTCCATGGATTTTTTTAGATCCGAAATGTATATTTAAACAAATTAACAAAAGAAACTTTTTTTTTGCTACCGACATTTTATCACTTGTATATGAGTGTTATCTAAATTGTTATACACTTATAACTTTAGTACTTTCCTGAATAAAATAATAATTAATAACTTGAACCATAATTCATTTAATGATAAAAACATTTTAAGGCTACTATACGATACTGATATCTATTGCTTGAATTCCAGCTAGTGTCAAAACAAATTATGTACTATAGGTAGGTACTTTATATAGAGGACAATAATATTATGTTATAAAGGGTTGGGGGACACACGTTACACTTTTAAAACAAAAACTTTATTTATTATTTTGTTTTCTTTAATAAAACAAAATTTGCTTTTTTGTGAGTTCAGCTGTTCTGGAACTATGGTACCTACTATACGCACCTCGCATATATACATATCGTGTACATATTCTTTGGGTTGAATGAACCACCGATAAACTGACTACCTAATGTGCGTGCACCCAAGCCATTTAGAAGTCTAATAGGTATATACATGTATTGCATTTATTCTACTTTATAGTTTACGGTGAATATAAATTAATAGCAAATATATATACATTATACACAACTGTCAACTGCCAACTACGTTCGGTGTTTAAAAGCCATAATTCGTATTTTTGCCTTTAAACGAGATAGTTTTTAATACCATAAAATAAACGAAAAAATTGTTTAAAATGTTCAATAAAACCGTTTATACCTACCTAATAAATAATGATATATTGATATTCGCACATATCACAGCGATCAGTATAACATGAGAGAAAAAGGTGTTTTCTGATGAGAAAATTTCTAATATACGTAGGCACATGATAGCCATAAGTATTGTATATTACAATTTAACAATAATATTATATATAAAACGACGTGTTGCAGACAAGAAACGCCATTTAAAAGATATTTATGATGGTGAAGCAAATATTTTTACTGAGCATCCTTAAATATTGTGTAGGGTCGAATAGAATTTGAAATTTGGTCTTATTATAATATATTATTTATAGTTTAGGTATACGGAGCTATTATAATTAGAATGATGATATCGGAAAATTATGGCATTTCTGCGATGACTGAACTTAATATTCATGTATTAACCCAATAATATTCATAAACAATAAACATACACTACAGCATAATACAATTTGTGATACATATATATTCCTATACTATACAGCTATTTGCTGATATACCGTAGCATTACATCGATTTTAAATTGAACGCACATTTTGTAGCTTGTAAAATCACGTAGGTAGATACAGTATAATTTGAAACGATTTACGGAATTCCTTACGATTTATTTTCTGAAGATCATTTTTTCTTTCCCTAGATTTTAAATATTTGCAATAAACCGTCATCCGACATCCGTCATCGATATAATATGATTAGATATTAGATATTTAGGTATTAGGTATATGGATAATGTATACAGCGTATATTGACTATTATAAGTTCATAACCGTATTAATATTAGTTATAATACGCCTGTCGCACAATGTACATAGTTATCAAATTTAATCCTGATTAATTATCGAATATATAACAGCGAGAGGGTGTCGATTTTTATTACGAACATATACGATAGGACTATAGGAGTCCCCAATTTGAGATAATAGCCAATAATGGATGGTAATCGGATTAACGAAAAAAGTACCGTGCGCCGTTTTGTACCAATATTTGTATTTCGGGGTTGAATAGTTTATTTTATATATTACACAGACACGCGTGTATCCGTGTGGATGATCTATGAATCATTCGCATACGCCCACCCTGTCACGTAATATCATCATCAATTTCATAATATAATAACAACATAATATATAATACGGCAAACGCCCGAAACTCTCACTTAATATTTCGCCATCATCGTGCAGACACACGATGTATGAGTATAGCATATGTACACGCACGCCGCATGTCAAAAGTCAACATTAATGATGTGAATTTTAATGAAATGCTTATAAAAGCTTATTATGAAGAATAGCTACATTTTGAACATTTGAGTACCTACATCTTCACGCGTCTTACAGCATACGACTAAACGACTTATAAACAGTACACATCACCACCGCAGGTTTGACGTGGTGTACCAAGGTTTCTGGCACTTTATGCATACATATACAAGAGTTGGAAAGTTGTAAGATTATTAATTTTGTCAGTTGAGTTCAATCAAAAATATTATAGTCAACAAATATAATAAATTCAGTTAAAATAAATTATTTATTTATTTTAAACAATAAAAATAAAATATTTTTCAATTTGAAACTTGTGACATGGGTCCATGTAAATTAAACTATACTTAGTTTATTATAAAATAGCAACTAGCTTGAAAGTTAAAAAAAAACTAACTAATTTTTAAACTAGAAAATGCCTTTATCCAACATCTGTAATCTGTATAGACTATACGTCATAATGTACTTATAGATTTAT